ATGCCTCCCTTTTTGTAATTCTCCTCACAATTCCTCCCCCGTTTATACTTTCTTCTCATCCCTTTGAAACAGAAACCATGGCAAGTAGAAAACAGTATTCAGGAACATGGTCATGCTATAAAGAAACAAGGAAGAGAAGGATACCACTGAGTGTGGGTGTTAATGATCTTTAGACCTTTCTGAGTATTGCTTTGTTGTCTGTGGGAGTGGGGATGTGTGCGCCAAATTGGTCATTGATTTTAGGCGTGTGGAGCCTTCAGACGCACACACATGCGCACACTTTGGGAGTCTGAGACGCTCTGTGAGCTTTAGCAGAGCTTGTCTCATCTTCCCTGTCTATCCTTTAAGCTGTGCTCCTCTTTCTCTCTAAATGCATGGTGGGCTGCTGGGCTGCCCTGGCAGCATGACAATAAGACTGGTGAGAGTCGGGCAGAACTCTCACTCTGTGTGGGGGGTTAGGTCTCTAATACTAAATTGAGGACAACTACAGGTTTAACATTCAGAGCACTGTCATCATCTCATGGTACATAACAGGGAGTGCTTTAAAGTCCGTACAGTGTTTTAGTTTTTCTTATCTCCTTTTTATGTTTAGCTTGAGGTAAGAGATTTTAATCATGCCTTGTGGGTATTATTGAGCATTTTAGCTTTAGAGCCCATCATTATTTTGAGATCTTTTCATCTATTTGCTTCCAGTTATTACTTAACCACCTTGAACTACTAAACCACTGTGGGCACTTGGTTAATGGTAGTAACCCAATGCCCACTGTCCACTATACATGCACTTTTACAATGATGAGATGTGATGGCTCTTCTCAGAGCTACAGGCTCATTATTGCATAGAACTTGGAAAAAATAGACTAATGAGCTGTAACATGCATCAGAGCTTGTTATGCTATCCTGTTAAGTAAAACATCCGATTTCCAAAGTTGTTTCAACTGACGTGATCAATTGGCAACAACAGTAGCCCTCTAATGAACTAGGACTCTAGTTCAGAGAAACTGTCACTCCTGTAGTGCTCTCATCCAATCTGCATTTTCTAGTTTAAAGCATGTCTGACTATGGATGTTCTTTCTTTAGGTGTTTGTATGTGTTTGCAGATGCTCAGATATAGCGGAAACTGGGAAGCTATCCTAGGTAGAGGATCTTTCCTCACACTCTCTTTCTCGCCCTCCCCCACATTTCCCAGAGGGGAGAGGAGCCTCGTCAAAGCTCTGTCATGAATTTTTAACAAGGCTGTTGGTCTACTCTCTTGAGAAGTGCGTGTGTACAAATTAGCATGTGAATATTCATATAGTGATAGTGTAAGGAAATGGGTTATTTTTACATCAGTGTTATCCTTCTATTCTATCCATCAGTTTCACAAATTGTGTGAAAAATGGTGTGTCAGACACTCAACAGCTGTTGCTCATACTCGTTTTTCCATGTTTCTCATCACTGATATTAATAATGAGCAAGGAGAGAAAGTTGTAAGTGGGTTTGTGAATGCACTGATATTGTTTCAAACATGTGTTTTAAGGACTAGATTGGATTTAGGATCAAGTTGTAACGTTCACTTGTCCCTGTAGACTTGCAATAACTGTATATGACGCTATATGGCTGTCTTTTATGTACCACAGTTATGAGATCTACTCAGGTTTTCAGCAGGTTTATAAACTGCTATCTCTTACATTGTTAAACTTTTTTAATCCAATAAAGCATTATGTAAGATTTTATTTTTTTTAAGTAGGGTTTTCTAGGGGCGGCTGTGGCTGAGTGGTTAGAGCAGTCGTCCTCCAATGCGAGAGTTGGGGGTTCAAATCCACCAGCAGTCGCATGCCGAAGTGTCCCTGGGCAAGACACTGAACCCCTCATAGCCTCTGATGTGTGTCCCATCGGTGTTTGAATGTGATAAAGCTCTGATTAGTCTCTTTAGAATGATTTGTTCAATTAGCTTTGTAGAAATCTAGTAGAGTGCTGTATGAATGGGTAAATGAGGACACAGATTGTAGTGTAAAGCACTTTGAGTATCTTGAAATAAGATAGAAAGGCGCTATAAAAGTACAGTCCATTTACCATTTACCATTTAGAGTAGTTATGAACCGTCAGTTTCTTACCCACTGTATGCTCTAAATAATCTCAGTTTGGAAACATTTAACTTAAATCTGGCTGGTTTGACAAGTTAATGACTGGTCTGAGCAGGGTCAAGTAGTAGATGTAGCACTTTTGGCTTTTGGTATCATGTTTCTGTCAGATTACCTATATTAAAACTTCTTGGCAGTGGTGTAAATATATATGACATAGCATTTGCACAAACAGTTGTAAAAATATGGAGAATGGATTTGTTTTAAAAATGTTAGAAATCTTATTTGAAAGCGGCTATGCTTAGCTTATCAAATATAATAGTATTTCATCTGACCTGCTAATTGTAAATGCTTTTATTGTCAATCATTGTGGATTACACAGTTAGTTTAATCCAGTATAGTTGTATATATATATATATATATATATATATATATATATATATATATATATATATATATATATATATATATACATTTTTTTTCTTGTCAGAACTACAGCAGAAGTGCTACAGCATGCTGCTGCTGCTATTTGCTCCATAAATCTATTAAAATAACAGTGTAATGTGAAATTCACTTTACTGTAAAAGTTCATGAAACATAATTTTTATTAACTGCTTTAAAGTTTTGATGACATATAAGTCAGTTTTTTCATAGATTTGTCAGTCCTGCGACTTAGACGCTGAAGCGACTCATATATGTTTTTTTTTCCATATACATAACGCAATTTTTGACTGACGCTTTAAATTTTGAAGAACTGCAACAGTAAGTCCTCCCGTGCCCACTCGCTTCACTCAGCTGGTGCAGGTGGAGGAACGCTGGAGAGCTAGCAGCTCCGGCCACGATGGATGGTGCCACAACATGAAGCTGTTTTGACCATTAAATAAATGCATAATAAAGGGTCAGCGGTGACGCATAATAAATGCAACTTATATGCCAAAGCGACATATATGTTTTTCTCTTCTTCATGATGCTTTTTTTGACTAATGCGACGTTTACTTCGGAGCGACTTATATGCTGGAAAATGCAGTATTTAAAAAAAAAAAACTGTGATGGATTTGTGACCTGTCCAGGGTGTCCCCCGCCTCTCGCCCAGTGACTGCTGGATATGGGCACCAGCGACCCCCGTGATCCGAAAATAAAGAAGTGGGTAAAAGATAATGGGTGGATACCTTGGTCTTGGTCACATTCAGACTAGATATTGGTTTGTAAGTCCAGTTAGGTTTAAACTTTATTTCTCCAGATCGGGGCTGTTCAAGGAATAATTTATGTTGTTTAAGATAATACTTTTCAAAACTTTTTTTTTTTTTTTTTGGTTACAAAACCCCACTTTAAAAGATCTGAATTATCACTTTAAATTCTAACGAATAATCAAAGAGCAGTGTTAACTATTTGACAGATACTTTTCATCACAATTCATTGCCTCCAAACAAGACATTTAACTGAATTCAGAAATCAAGCTATTTTTCTAATGCTGCTTCACATCAGGCTTAATAATGTCACCATCACTACTTTGTGCCATACAGGGAGCCTGTGGGTGTGTGTGTGTGTGTGTGTGTGTTTACAGCTGGATTGGGCTGTAAATTTAGCCAATGACAGGTCTGGAACAGAGCCCAGAACCAGAGGCCAAAGAGATGGCACTGTTGATCAAGAATGGGAGCACAGCCGACAGCAGACTCATGGTTATAGACACACAGATGCACACTCAGAATAAAACTCTGATTGACATACGGCAAGCATCGAATCAAGACCTGATATGCCGGTTACACGTCACATTTGTTTTACTCATCTGTAATACTTTGTTTATTTGTGTGCTGTTATGAATAATATTAGTGTTGTAGACAAACTGCTTGATTCAATGTCTCAGCGTTTCTCCACATTGTTGTTTTTACCAATCAGTGTGGGCCAGGGCCAGGTTAGACTTTTATTTCTGCAGATTCGCCCAGGTGAACACATCCACTCTTCCCTTTTCTGTTTGGTGCTTCCTCTGCTGTCTGCCTTGGGGATATCTCTGGTCTCATATCGAATTCTCATCACAGTGTGCACGGTTTTATTATTGAAGCTAAATCTTGTATAATTGGATGCAATTATAGTGAAATGACTATAAATATTATGATGCAGAATGCACAACTCATTTTATCTGACTTGCTGTGACTTTCTTTTTTTTTTCCCAGCTTGTTTTTCTTCCCCCCCCCCCCCCCCCCCACACACACACACACACACACACACACACACAAAAAAAAAAAACTCATTCTTTGAATGTTCATCATAGAAGCCTGCTGAGGTTTTGCAATTGGGAACAAACGTCACAATAAGTATAAACTGAATATAATTGCATTCAAAGCTTCAAACTGTCTGATGTTTCAGTACTTTCCTGCTCATATCTTGAGCTATTTTAGGACTTTTAAAATACATCAGGTTGCTGCATAAGTTCACTCTTTGCATTGCTTGTGTTTTACTTTTGTACTTTTAATGCGACCTCTCTTTTTGCAGATGTGCAGCAGCCAAGCTCATGTTGATCGCATGTATTTCACATTATTCAATAACGACTAATTTGAGTGACGCCATCGTGCCTGGCAGTCCATTTGTCTTTGACCTTTTCCTGTGATCTGCCCCTTTTTCTTCATTTTCTCCTTTGTTTCACACACTGTCTTGTTCACATTTGGAAACACACGCCCACACACACACACATGCACATTTGCCTATGTTCCAACCTTTTCGATCTGACATTCTCATACTCAGTGTTGTGGCCTTTAGTGGGCAGAAAATGCTGCAAGACAGAGAACGTCTTGTTGTTTTTAGCTGTGAATGGGATGGTAATAATTTCACTGTTTCTGAGATGCTTTTGCTTCACTGTCTTTAATACAAGTTTTCTAAAATGAGACAGATGCAGTGAAGTAAACACACACAGCAGTTTCTAATCTGTCACATTTGTCTCTCTAGAAACTGGCCACAGCTGCTGAAGTATTTCAGATGGAACACGTGTGGAAAGACGAGTTTGAGGTAAAAAAAAAAAAGTTAAAACAAAACAATACAAAGTCACTCAAAAACACACATTTCATTTCTCTGGACTTTTTTTTTTTCTCCTTTGTTTGAACAGATGTGATCAGTTTGCAGATACCCGCCATAAACAGGGTTTACAGCTCCATTGCTAAATGAAGCTATAATCACACCTTTATTGCCTAATTATGCTTCATTGCCCATTGTGCACGGTGTTATGACTCAGGAGCTACAATACAGAAAACTTTTATTAAGGAGTGAATAGCGGTCAAGGAAGATACAGTTATTATAGTTATTGTCTGCTGCCAAGGGGCAATAATATTTTGCCTGTTTCTGTAGCAATAGTGTATGCATTTTATTGAAGCTGAGTAAATTATTGGATGTACATCTACAACTGATTAACACATTTCAATATGTCCGTCAAAGCCAAGTGACCTTAGAAAACACAAAAATGGCTCTAACGCTGTGAATATTAGATATTTTCACATTTGTCATGATAGTAGCTGAGCGTCATCTGCAACACAGTGTGCTAAAACATTTGACAGCATTTGTGTTTAAAACTTTAGTTTTAACCTTTTGAAGTCAACCCATATGACTGTCTGTTAGTCAAGTCACATTTATTTATATAGCACATTTAAAACAGTAACTGTTATCAAAGTGCTTACCAAAAAAGATCACAGCATCACATATTAATAACAAGATATTACAGCAACATGAATAAAAGCATAAAAACATTAAATATAACGAGAAACAATGAAATACTAAATCAAATCGCCCTGCGTTAAATGTCAGGGAGTAAAAGCAAAACGGATGAACACAATCATCAACAACGAAATGCCAAATGAGATCACACTGTGTTAGCTAAATATGTTATGAACCACAGTGCAGATTTGATTGAAATATGGTGAAAGTGATATTTGAATGTACAAACAATTCAATTCAAGATGGCCACCACAGCTCACTGATATTAGACAACACAAAAATTACTAACACCTTTACAGATACTGAGGTAAACCTTGTATGGTGGTGTCTGAGAGTCATTTCCAACACGTATTCTAAGCACTGACACATCTCTTGAGATCTTGCAATAATACATAATGTCGTTTACAAGGTTTGTCTAAAACACTAGCTCTGTCCCTCCTTGTCATATGTGGGTTGATCTCTGGCATGAAAAAATCAGCAATTGATCATTATTCCTTCAAGAAATGCCACGTTTTTAATTTTAAATATGTCTGCCTGTCATGAATGACCTCATTGTGCTTTTAATGTCTGAAAATGCATTGGAATATAGGCAGAAAATGAATACTCCCACATTTATTTATGTGGCATCACACACTGTTACAAAACTGACTACGTAACAAATAGTGCTACCACAGAAAGCAAGTAAAAAAAAAAAAAAAGTCTTCGATAGAATTGTTTTGTGACAACACAAATGTGTCTTTGCACAATACCAAAAAGTAACATTTGTTTTATTGTTTTACAGGATGATGAAATTGCTTATTACAATGCAAAGGACAATGTAAGCGTTTTTAAATTGTATTGTCATCTTTTGTCCATTTACTTTCCTTCTATTTACATATAGTTAGATATCACTGAGTAAAGTCATTTTGGGTTTGAGCCTCACTGCTTTCTTGAAATCCTCTTCGCTGCATCATCTTCCCTCCTGTCCCTTATTTCTATACTGTTCACCACATTCACACTTTTTTTTTTTACTCTCTTATTCAATCATTGCCTCAGTTTTTTACTGCAGTACCCCGTCCTTTGCCTGTTCCTTGGACTTTTCCTCCCGTATAGCTTCTCCCTTCCATCTTACCTCCCACTCTCTCTCAGGTGAAGAGGTCCCTGCCATTTTTCTCCTCTAATTGACAGATGAGATGTATGAGCTGGCCACGCTGTTGCTTTATTAGGAAGCAAGTGTTTCCCCACTATTCCTCCCCAGTTGCTTTCTCTCTCCTTCCCCCCTCGTCACTTCAGTAGCTCTAAACCCTGAATTCTTTCATATCTCATCATGCTTTTCACCTCGTGTTGCCCCGTCTCTGCTGTGCTCATTGATGTAAATTGGCAGAGGCACGGCAGGGGTTTTAAATCTCCATATAAGTGTCAGTGTCTGCTGCTCCTCCTCAAAGTGGGGTTGAAAAAAAGAAAACGCCAAGATGTCTATTGGTAAACAGATAATGCTTCATTTTTTTAAGTGAATATAAAAATTGCCATAACGATATAATTATGTCAGACAGGATTCATCGAGGACGAGTCGTCAGATTTTCAATAGGTCCAATATTTTTAGATTAACCATAACACTATATGTTGCAGGCTGTGCTTCAGCAAATAAAATCAAGCCGATTGGTTTAATATCTGAAAGCTGCGATCGAACCCACTGGATTCATCTTGATCTATTGATTTATTTTCAGCTGGATGCGAATGAGACGGAGGGAAGAAAATACAGGATTCGTCCCGACTTTAAAGAGGACCCATCATTTAAACGCCTGACAGATCACAACCACACCGCTGTCCACATTCCCACTGACATCTATGATGGCTGTGAGTATAGAGACACACACAGACCTGAGTGGTAACTATGGAAACAGCTGACACACCAAGCTATTATGAAATGTTCGCAAGGAGACGGTGCCTCTAGCAAACTAAGTATGTTCTCCAGGCTGATACTTTGTGAGTTCTTAGTCGAGTCGTAAAAATAAGCTCATTGAAATGAAATTGGTTTACGATGCATCTCCTTCCGGTACAATCTATGACACCTCTCATGCCAATACATCTTTTACACATGGACGATTGGCTTTATTCTCATGAAAATGCTAACATTTTTTCAGATACTCAGATAAGTAAGCTTTGAAGTAAAAATCAAGTTTCTTAAACCACTTTTCTTACGTAACACCTCTGTATGTTGTAAACTAATTATACCCCCAGCTGTTGAAGCAAAGCAAGTAAGCTTTTTTTTTATGTCACCAATTAACACATTTTGATATAAAATAGAATCTGGGATCCTGCTTTATGTACAAAGTCGTTTACTTGTTTGGATTTTTCAAAGTTTGAGTTTAATGCTATACATAACAAAAAACTAAACAAAAAAACAGAGTTTAAGAGTTGTGACCATACACATTTGAAACAAATATTATCTGTTGTCAAAAATATTTTCAACATCTTAAATCTTAAGCAAACATTTTGTTCTGGTAGTGCCTTAAGTTAAAGGACTATGACTACAAAACTACTTTGTATGGAACAAGAAAAGAAAAAAAATATCAATATTATTGGTTTCTATGTTTTCATCTTGGTAGTTTGAATATTGAACAGAGAAAGCTATTTGTTCTTGTTCGTGTAATAAAACTTCAGCTGCTAAAGATCAATTATTGTCCTTTCATCAAGAGAAGCCAAACATACCATAGTTTTTCTTTCTTTTAACTACATTGAAAAACCTCTTTAACAGACAGTATTATTTATATATAAAGTATAATTTTAAGGAAGTTTTTTTTTTTTTTCTAATAGAAAATTATGCCCCATACAATGCCTCAATGTGATGCTTAAAATTGAAATTTGAAGAGGGGCACAAAAAACACACACCTCCATTTCCACATTAATGTGCATTAGAATGAGTCAGCTGAGGCGCTGTTTAAAAAAAAAAGTTGTTTTGAGTGAAATCGTAACACTTCTGTTGTGTTTCGGCCATTCGTGCACACCACAACAGTGATCGCGTTCTCTGAGACCCAGTTTGTTTCAATCCAGGTCTCAGAGTGGAAGGTTCTGAAAACTCCCGGCATCAGTGTGAAATCACACACGAAGAACAGTAACAATGAATCTCTTTTCAATTGATCAGCGCTTCTGACATGAAACATATACAGAATGTACAAGTTGCATCTCTTGGGTCCTTGGAGACACATTTCACACATTTTACTAACACTGTTGGTCCAAACAAACATACGGATGTAAGGAAGTAACTGTTGTCATGCTGGAGACTGAAGTATCTGCACGTGTTGTTGAAAAAAAAATAATCACATGGTCAGCTAGTGACCTGGCAGTGGATTTAACATAATTTACAGTCTTATCTAAACATTGATTCACAACATGTAAATATGTAACTCTTTCATGATCTCTAACGTTTCCAGAGATCATTCATGTGTGAACAGGGTCTACATGTGCTCTATACCTCTGTAGGAGTAACTGCATTATTTTACTTAGCATGAAGAACGTGATGGCAAGCACTGGTGACTCGTAAAAATGTGAACATTTTCAGCTTGAGCCAAAGAGACACATGGATCATATGCAGCTCATGCATCCTGCATGCATGTGCATAATGTCAGTGACATGGGAGCTCTTTGTCTGTGGCTGCTTCAGGAAACTCTGGGTCGAGAGTTCTCCAAGCAATAAGGAAGTGAATAAATTATATTTGACTGAACGGTGAATGTTTATCCTTTTCCCCACTGAATACTATGCTTCTTCTCTGTGCTCCAGTCATTGAGCAAGCATTAGCATCCACACGTGTTTGCAGGGGTGGATGTAACAAATTACAAATACTCACATTGCTGTAATTAAATAGATTTTTGGGTACTTGTACTTTTATGAGTATTTATTTCAAGTGTATAATTTTACTCATACTTAAGTACAATTTAGACCATGTAATCTACTTAGCTACTTTTAAAATCAGAATTTGCTACTGAGTATGGCTACAATTTGAATTTATATGAAAATCGCTCATCTGCATCATTGTAGCCAATAAGACTCTCAGATCATGAACACACCGATTACCTATGACGTAAGCAAAGGACAACTCTGTAGAGTAGAGAGTCCTTTATGGACTGAATATTTGGAGAAAAAGCCAAAATGGAGACAGAAGACAAAACTGTGAACAGAGAAGATGATGAAGTAAAGGCTGAGGACGAGTGCATGTGGCCGTACCTGGAGGAAATGTTCATGTACAGAGGGTGAAAAGGAAACAACGTCCAGATGTAAACTGTGTTTGATCTCTACAGTGATAGCAGCTTACAAGACTTCAGCATCTAATCTCAAAAAACATATTGTTGTTTATGAGGTTTTATGATATTGTTTTTTAATTGTTTGTATGTGTGGGTTATTAGTTTGGCTAAATATGCAAAGATCTTAGATATTGTCACTGCCATCGGTTTACCTGGTACTAAAATAAGACGGAGCTTCTGAGCATCTGAGAAATGTACTTTGAATGTAGCTGTTATATACAGTACATCAAACTGAATGACTTCTATTGACAACACAATAAAACATCATCTGGTTAAAAAGTAATTAATACTCTTGAATAGTTTTTGAGAAGAATACTTTGTACTTTTACTTTAGTATTTTATAGCACCAGTACTTTTACTTGTAATTGAGTACAATTTAAGCAGTGTAACAGTACTTGTACTTGAGTACAAAATTTCAATAATCTTTCCACCTCTGTGTGTGTTTTTTTTTTTTTTTTTTTCAAACGCTTCAACAACATGTAGCTAAATATTCTGTAAATAGCAAGTTAATTTAAAACAATGCAATTCCTTGACTGGTGCAGTTGTGTCAAACAAATTGAAACCATGCTAGTTATTATGTTAAATATTAGATAAAAAAAAAACTTTTTATACTCACACATAAGCTAAATGACACATTCTTACCTCTTGAAACTGTCTGTGTAAAAACTAATTGATACAATTAAACAAACTGGAATTAACCATAAGATGATCCAGATGGTATTTATTGACAGAAACTGCTTTGTACTGATTGATGAGGTTTATTCAATTACAGTACTATCAGTGACGTTTGGAGTGCGCTGCATTATGCTTTTTCATCCACTGAGAATTAAGAAGAATTTAAGGGTCAGGAATGAAAGACTACAAACCAGAAACAGGCTGCTTTGGTGGGTTTTGGCTGTCAAATGTTTGCTGCCTGCCTGTAATAAAAGCAGATTTCTGATCATTTCATCAGCATGCGCTGACATTTACATTTAGTAGATCAGAATAATTGGATCCTCTTGAGTCTTTCTGACATTAGCAGAGATCAAGCTGAATGTCACTGACTTAAAGATGAACTGCTGAATCTCTCAGCTCAGCAACTTGTGCTATTGCCACAGCACAAGTAATATATGTATATATATATTTTTTTTTTTGTTTGTTTTATAATCTTTTTTAACATGTTAGTTTCTGAGCTGATGTTCTTTTATTTTGACTTGAAGAGTTTAGTGTTGCGCTGCAGTTACAGTTAAATGAGTCTGACTACTGGATGGTTTAACCACCAGGCTGCAGTGTTGCTCATTCACTTGTGAGACCGGACCCAAGTGTGTTTGTTCAAATTAGAAAAGTAAATTGTGTGCAGTGGAATTTGCATCAGCAGTGACTTGGAGCAGCTATCAGTCAGACAGAGTGACTTCCTCAGCATGGACTTCAGTCTGCTGTGGAACCGTCTGCTTCCAAGGTTACATGTATAACTTTTTTGCTGATCCAGAATTCTCAGCTATACAGTAAATGTGAAACATTGATGTGGATAGATAGCTGTCAGACAATGTTTTCAGTAAAACCGCTGTAGTATCCGGCTGTTCTTGTTGTGACTTTGGCATTGTTTTGCCTTAGATACCTTTGTGACTAAAGTCTGGGCAGGTTGCCATGACTTTACACGTCCACTTTTTTTTATCTCATCGATGCTGTCTGCTGGTAGCTGGTAATGAGTATGCATAGATACTCTGAGGTTCTGAGAGGCATTCAGCACTGAACTGTAATCTGAACACGACAAACTAAATTCATGTGCATTCTTTGTGTGCGTGCATGTGCATGCATCCAAAGCTAGGTGTGGGGAAAGTGAAGAGGCAGTTCTTGCAAGTTTGTTTTTAGACAAGGTGTTAGTACTGAAACAGGTGAGATATACATAGTGCTGACAAAAATGAGCAAAACAATAAATATTGTAAAAATAATAAAAAAAAGGATAAAAAGATAACAACAAAGTGTGTCTTTAATATTGCCCCACTTGCTGTGTTGTGTATATTCTACGACTGGGGGAAAATAGTGTGAAGATAGATATGTTGTTAAGGTTTCACCTTCTCCAATTTGATCTCTAGCCTATAAATGTTTCAGATATGGCCTTTGCTCAGGTGGAGAAAATTGGATATTTTTGATAAAGTGGGTGAGAAGTTAATGAAATCAGCATCAACAAGAGACCTTCAGATGGAAGAAAAATAAAAGCCAAATCATTTTATCTATTGTGGGACAGTATCAACGAGTGGAAGAGGAAGACACAAATTCTGACAAAAGAGAAACGGTTCAGTCTAGTACATAAGAAAAGCATACAAACAACAAAATAAATATGTGCATGTTCTTTTGATTTAAAACATGTGACCAAAATTAATGTATCTTCCAACTCTGATCATTTATTAAAAAACTAAAAACTAAAAAAAAATGTGCTGTTGCTGTCTTCAAAAATTCACTGCACCTGTAGGCAACTCAGCTGAAGTTAAAACTGAATATATGTTCAGTGTAGATCAGACACAATAAGTCAGGCAGGGATTTTATTAATGTCAAGGGCAATATGAACCACTGAAGAGTAGTGTTTCTTCATGTAGAGGCAGTGCAGTTTAGCCTACTGAATAAGACGACTAATTCAACACCAGTGGAGCATTAAAGGACAACTGTCCATGCAGCTTTAATTTTTCTCAGCAAAAGACAAAAGCTGTGTTCATATTTGTTCCTCGTTTCTTTAAAAACCCTGTCCCTAATGAGTGAAATGGATTACTAATTGCACCACACCTTTTATTTCTGTCTCTTCAAAACAAAATGCACATGCACTCCTGGCAGGCTAGCCTTCATTAAATCTACTCTCTAGAGACGCGCACACAGATGAACAGTGTTTGCTTTGCACATCAATGAGCGACGTCACACTACGTGCCGGATACAGGATGTGTCTTACAAACATGCATCAGTCCAGCATAGATACAAAATATATAACTCTCTTCCGCAATTATTTCTGACGAAAACCCTATTACATACAGATGATAATACGATGAGAGGACAATAAACAAATACCGTATACAGTTGTAAAACAGAAAACAAGCAGACAGACAAAACACAGATTGAGTTGGGGTGGCACATGTTGTGCCTTCATCAATCATAGTCAGGGTTAGGTGGCTCTAAACTGTCTGGGGGCTGTGACATTACATCTATAATGCCTGTTGCCGCTTACAACTTACACTATCAATCACACACATGCACTACCCCCCCCCCCCCCCCCCCCCCCCCCCTCCCCACACACACACACAAACAGATTAGAGCAATTGGGTATTTCAAATATTAGAGTCAGAGTTTTATTTATTTGTCATTTGCACCACATGTGCTACATGTGGTGGAACGAAATTGAGTACACAGAGTCCCATTTACGTCCAACAAAAGTATAAAATGTAAAAGAAAAACAATAATAAGAGCAAAGTTATGAACTAAGAAAAATGTTAACTAAAAAAATATGCAAAGTACTAGTAGCATAAAAACATTGCATCGAACAGCAGCACGAACATGAGTCTGCATGAGCAGATGTGCACGCATGAACACAGCAACATGAAACAGATCAGCAGCAACATGGAACAGATCAGCAGCAACATGAAACAGATCAGCAGCAACATGGAACAGATCAGCAGCAACATGAAACAGATCAGCATCAACATGATGTGATTTTTTTCACAGTGATTATTCTGGTTAGAGAGTCACAAGTCTAACAGCTTCAGGATAGAAGCTGTTCTTCTGTCTAGACTTAATGCTCCTCAACCTCTTGCCTGAGGGCAGCGGGGCAAAAAGTGTGTGGGGAGTGGTGGCGCAGAGGTTAGAGAGGTGGGCCTGTGATCCGAAGATCACCGGTTCACGTCCCAGCCCCGACAACATCAAAAATTGTGGGTGGGGTAGGTGAAAACACTCACAGTTGCCCCCACCCTCATTCGCCCCACTCTGGGCCCATGAGCAAGGCCCTTAACCCCACCATGTGCTCCCTAAACAGGTCTCTCTTGAAAATGAGTTCTCGTGGCTCAATGAGACTACCTGTATAAATAAAGGCTAAATGAAAAAAAAAAGTGTGTGCTGCGTGAGTGGGGTACTTCATGATGCAGATGGCCCTCTTCCTGCATCTGGAGGTGTAGATGTCTGTGATGGTGGGGAGACTGACTCCAACAGTCTTCTGTGCAGCCTTCACCACTCTCTGCAAAGCTTTTCTTTCGGCAGCTAAGGTCAACAATGCAATGACATGCTATGGACGAGTGTTGTTGCCCCAGCTGAGGTTGTCATTCAGGTGCACACCCAAGTACTTGTAGCTGGAGACCACTTACACCGCAGATCCTCCTATGATCGGGGGGTGTGTTTGTTCTGTCTGAAGTCCACGACCATCTCCTTTGTCTTCTTTACAATGATGTGAAGATTGTTCTTTCTGCACTAGCTCTCCAGGTGTTCCACCTCCTTCCTGTAGCTGGACTCATCATTGTTTGTGATGCATTCAGCCACTGCTGTATCATCTGCTGTATTGTCTGGTAGTATTAACTACATTTAAAATTAAATACTGTTTAATTTTGGTCAGGGCACCGCCATTATGTTCCTGAGTACCATTCCTTTTACTTATGACTAAATACAGGCACTCGCAAGTGTGCTGGACAAATATTTTCTTATACTCTGGGTGAATAGTGGGTGAATGCTCGGAAACGCCTTGTAACTGCGACTTTCTTTCCCTCCATTACAGTGGCGTTATTTGCATGAACGCCCCTACAAGCACCTTGCAGATGTTGGACGCTGCCTATCATGGTGCGCTAAGATTCATAACTGGCTATAACTACCATATTGCACCTTGTATTCACTTAACTGGACACCATTAACTTCACACAGACTCTCCCTGTTTAAATAAAGTTTGAATGAATGGGTTGATACTGAGTGAGTCTTTGTGAACACTAATTAAAGTGTTAATTTGAGATGATCACAAGTCTTTGACTTCTTTCTATTGAGATTCTGACATTCTCTAATCAACCTCAGAGACTGAGAATCATATTCTAATAATTACAAATGGATGGAACATTTTTGTGCAATATCCTTTTTTTTCATTGATGTTACCATTGTTTTTTATTCATTATTTTTTGTTTTGAGATGTCTATATTTCACAAATTTATATACTGTGTATATATATATATATATATATATATATATATACAAGTAAATATCTGCATTTCAAGCTGTCTAATCAGATTGGTAGATGTGCAAAAAGTGTATTAAATTAAATTTTAATGATTATTTAGTTGATGAATCTATTATAGATCTATTTAACATACAAAGTCGATATTATACAGGGCTGTTGACTTTTTTCTATTATTACGCAATATTTTGCGTGCTTGATACAACATAAATTTGTAATTTGGATTTATACATGTTGAGCATAATCCATGGAACCTTTAGTATGGCTTCTCAGATTTGACTACGTTTTCAGTATGTAGTTTTTTTGATACACACTATCGTTTTGTATTTATCTTGAATTTTTCTTTTTTCTTTTTCTCAGCTACCATTGTGCTGAATGAACTCAACTGGACAGAGGCGCTTGAGGATGTTTTCAAAAAGAACAGAGAAGATGACCCAACACTTCTTTGGCAAGTGTTTGGCAGTGCTACAGGCTTGGCTCGCTATTACCCAGGTAACCCAATAACCAAACAAAACAAATCTCACTGCTGTGATGTTAAGAAAAAAAAATCACCTAATGTTGTTACTGTGTGTGCTTCCACTACTAATAATCAGTGAATCACTAATACTTATCAGGTCATTACTCCTCCACTCATTATGTGCGTAATTTAAGAAACCATGTGTGACTATCATCATAATTTTCAACAGTTTAGTTTAGTTTATCCATAATTTCAGTCTTGTAGTTTTTCATTGTGATGGCACACACTAATTGTATTTGATTTAATAAACCATCTTACACTGCAGCAGTTTTTGTGTTACTCTAAGTAATGATTTTTTTTTTGTCCCTCATCAAGGAGTGAAGAGAGCATTTGGAAATGCCCTTGGTCCATCCATCTGTGCATGTTATGAGCATGATAACTTGACAAATAAATTAGATACCAACTTCCATTTTGTTTTGTGGCTACATCTAAGGGTAAAAAGTGTTACGATTGAAAAATGGATATCCACATCAAAATCCAAGATGGCTGCCTCCATAACTGTCCATCCATCCTGTGAGCTATATAACTTGAAAAATAAGCAATGTGCCAACTTTCATTTGGGTTTGTTTTGAGATGTCTGTATTTCATCTATATATTGCATCTCGATGTAAGAAAGGCCACCATGGGTGCCTCTCATGAAGGCAACCAAAGGACCCACTGGTGGACACCAGCGGTGATGACAGCTGTCAAACTGAAGAAGGAGGCCTTCTGGACTTGGCTGTCCTGGAGGACTTCTGAAGCAGCTAAAGGGTACAGGAAAGCCAGAAGGACTGGAGCTTTGGTGGTTGCGGTTGAAAAAACTCAGGCATGGGAGGCATTTGGGGAGGACATAGAGAAGGCCTTTTGGTTGACCTGGAGGAGGTTGTGGCAAACTGTTCTGCGATTCAGAAAAGGAAAACGGTGTCCTACTCAGGTTCTGCTTGGTTTGGGTGTAGGGTTGCTGATCCAAACTGAGGACATTGTCAAGCGGTGGAAGGAGCACTTGGAGGATCCCCTTAATCCACCCACCATGTCCACCTTTCAGGAGGCAGAGTCTGAGGATGTCTGCATCATGAAGGACCCCACTCATCTAGCACACACACTTTTTGCCCCACTCCCCTCGGGCAGAAGGCTGAGGAGCATTAAGTGTAGAACCACTAGACTGAGGAACAGCTTCTACCCTGAAGTTGTTTGACTCCACTGTGGGAAAAAAAAGTCACTGTAATGCCTTTTGATTGTTAATATGTGCTACTGACTATCCATGCTGCTGGTCTCATGCTGCTGATTTATTTCATGCTGCTGTATTCATTCGTACTCGCTGGCCATGTCCCCCAGCCATGTCTGCGCAATGATCGTTTTTTACGACTGCGTACACATACTTATTGTCACACAATAAACTGCCCTGCAACGGACTGCTCTGTATGCAACAACAACTGCTCTCTGTGCAGTCACAAGGATGCGCAGCGCGACTGCTGCTCTCTGTGCAGCGCTGACAGGTGTCCGGTGGCTGCCCTGGTGGTGAAGAAACAGGGCTAGTGCCCATTTAGTTCATCAAACTTGCTAGAATCCATTAGAAAATATTCAAAATGTTTCTCGCTGTCCATCGTCTGCATGTCGTTCACCAGGGTATTAAATTCTCCTTCTTCACCTCTGGTCTGGTTTAATGGCCTTATCTTTTATTTTTTTGCCAAGAGGCAAGCGATCTCTTCCTCCTTGTCTGTGACACCATGACTGAAATTGTGAGAAATGAAGGAATTTGTCACGAGAGAATTAAATTCTGTACGCTTTGGCCCGACGTGGCTAATCGGGAGGGTCTAGAGATTGCAGGGCCAGCGCTCCCTGTTTTTTTTTTTTTTTGTTTAGAACTTTTTATTAACATCATATAAACACAATCCCGCTGCCGCTGCTCCTGAGCTGCTCTGTCTCTACCCAGGGCTGCCGGCAGCTCTCGTTGTATTATTTATTTTAATGAGTCAGATCCACTATGTGACATGTCAATCAACCTAGTAGGCATGTCAGCAAATGACCAATCAGCGACCTCAATTTATCCCAAAGTTAAATGCCCCTTACCTGCAGGGCTGGGCTGCAGCCCATCAGGGTGTATGCTCGAGTATGAAGTCTCAGCCATCTGCGGACAGTACTCACAGAGTCCGTGCAAGTACGCCCAAATATGTAGGGGCCTTTAGTTTAGCATATTTCTTAGTTCATTTAGAACTTATTACTGTTTTTCGTTTACATTTTATACTTTTGTTGGATGTAACTGGGACCCTATATATACAATTTTGTTTCACCACATGTACCGCATATGATGCAAATGACAATAAAGCAACCTTACCTTCTATTTATTTATGTATTATAATTTTGGTGGAAAGCAGTCTAAAACTGATCAAATATCCCCACAAACGTATTTTTACTTTTTATTGTGTTTACCTCTTAGAATACACAACAAATTATCACATGCCCTTGTACCGACTTCTTGTTGTGGTGCCCTCTCTCTAATAGTATGCAGGTAGAAAACAAGCTCATCCTCTGCTCTGCATACCTTATCTTGGATTTTTTATTCTCTCCTTTTTTCCTGTCCAGTAATTTTTGCGAGCAGGAAACTTGTCACAGTAGATGTGATAAATTTAGGAATGAATCCAACAAGCCAACAGTCATTACAAAAGGTGGCTTATCATGTCTGACAGTGACTCACTGCTTAGCAGAATTTGACACTGCATGTTGCCAGATTTTGGTAGTCTTGCAATGAAATGTGTCATAAATAAGACCAAAATAAGCAGAAGTGATAATTAGCTATATTTAATTACAATAACAAAATCTAATCATCATATATGTCATCTCCTTTTCTAGCTTCTCCTTGGATGGATGCTAGAAAGACTCCCAGTAAAATTGATCTATATGATGTCCGCAGAAGACCGTGGTAAGAAACCTGCAATAAATACATATTGTTTAGGGTTTATTCATATAATGTTGGTCGGAGCAGACCATTTACTGGTTTTATATAAATGTGTCTTTTTATTAACTGATGCATAGGTGCTCCTTTAAAAAGTGGGATTGGGGTTTAAAACTAGAAATAAATTATAAAGAATGGAAGAAAAGAAAAGAAAAAAGAAATTGTGACTTTGCAGCCCAGTGCAAAACCAGTTCAAATAAACAATTAATGCCTTACCATTAAAATTTATTTTAAAAATTAAATTAAATTTTGTTTTTTACCTTTTGAATACACCCAATAGATTAAAAAAAAAATATATTTTTTGAATGATTATGTGCCTTTATTTATATTATATCCTTTATGTTTCAAGTTTCTAGTCATAAACATACATATTTTGAATGAACAATTACCATTTCTAGTATATTTAAAGCAAATATAATTTTTATTAACATTGTGGGAAGTATTTTTACTTGTAAAATAAAAGTGTTGCCATGGGAAACTATTTTAAAATCAGTGGCCTTCGACGGGCTATTTTATATTCAGAGAGAGAGATCAAAGATCTCAGCACAGATGTTTTTTCTTGTTTTTATTCATGAAGGTACATTCAAGGGGCTGCCTCACCAAAAGACATGTTAATCCTTGTGGATGCGTGAGTACCCTGATAACCTTACAGATCTATAACTTGTTCACTTAAGCATTTTTTTATCATAAAGTTTTTGTTGTTTTGTCTTGGTTTTTTTTAGATTTTCTACCTTTTTTCCAATTGCAAGAAATAAAATCTTACAGGTAAATCTCAGCTAATCATCTTTTCTTCTCTTTTATAGAAGTGGGAGTGTGTCTGGTTTAACCCTCAAGCTGATTCGGACGTCTGTCAGTGAGATGCTGGAGACTCTGTCTGATGATGACTATGTCAACGTTGTTTTCGTGAGTGTCTTTAAACCCACCCAACAAAATATAAAGAGACCTGTTTGCTTGATTCTGCATGAACATCCATTATCAGAACCATTCATGTCAGGTGTACTGTCAGATAACGTGCATGCACACAAACACACACACAGCACATTGCCTGAGCAGGTATACAGTATGCATGCAAGAGAGGCAGAGATAGAGAACAAGTAATGAAAAATGGATTTCTTTCAGGTCTGGCCACCCTGAAACAGATCTTTAATGAAATACCCACTGCTCTATTTGGTGCTAAAGATTAAAACTCTGCTCTCTGTGCCCCCAACCCTCCGCCTGAGCCACAAATAGAGGCACAACTGTGGATGAACATTCCCATTGCTCCTAAAGAAATTAAAGCTGGACCCCAGGAAGCATCCATCCATCTCTCTTTTTATCTCTCCAGTATTTGTCCCTTTTATATTTAAGGGATGCAATTTCATTTGTCATTCATCTCTTTCTTTCAATACTTCCTCCCATTATTATTCTTAGTTTCTTCCCCTTATTTTTTTTTACTTTTTCTCACTCACCCATCACTCTTCAGGCCCATTTGTTTTGTGATTACACCTGGAAAGACTTAATCAGGAGATTAGTTGATGTGCAGACGGGTACCTGAGGTGTTTATTGAGATGGGTCTTTATAGAGATCGAAGCTGTCTTCTGTTGTATCACACAAAGACAGCTATTCAGGCTCTGCCGCCTCTCCATGGGGACCCTTTGTCTTCGGCACAATGTATTCTGTTCCATGGTGGACATGTGATTCTACAAGGGTTGCAAATAATCAGAAACTGATGGGGAGAAACGCTTGCCTGGGTGTGTGTGGATGTGTGTCTGTTTCTCAGAAAGTGAGACAGACTAAACGGGTTTAGTTTGAGAAACAAAATGCAGTTCAATTGTTGATGTAAAAGATTTTTTGAAATTTTGTGTGTGTGCTTAAAAAGTGCAAGGATAAAGCATTAATGACCCAAATGAGCTGCAGGACACCGAGGCATACATTAAGGTGCTAAAATCAATTTAAGGTTAAAATATCACATTTTATTCCTAATGCAGAAGAAATCAACTTGGCAACATTAGAACACGGTGGTGCATATTAACACATTAACACAATATTTGTTTTATTTACGTCAGATACACTGGCTGCAACTTAAATAAAGTTAAAAGTAAATCTTTGCTGTGGTTTTAAAATATGTTTGAAATTTACGAAGGCTTTCGAGCAGCATCTTTCTGCATTTAATTTTATTTTTTAAATTGTTTGTAAATTACATAAATAAAAGCTATATCTTATGTGTTAATAAAATAATCAATGTTATTTATTAATTGAAAGCTCAATTAATTAACAACACATAACATGTATCAGTGTAAATTTCCTAAATAACCTAACCCATTATTTTATAAATGAAACCCTTTGTTTATTGTGTTGCTGAACAGATTATAATCCATGTTTTCACACAGATTTTTTTTTTTTTTCTCCAAGTAGAAAGCTGTTCTAACTGGAGTTTTGTGTTGAACAGTTTAATTATCACCATCCAGCAAACTCAGTGTTAGGAATATTTATTGGCCAATAAATAACAATAATAAACATTAATGATGCTGTTCCATAAATGTCAGCAGTATCATTGATCAGACTGAGATGGAAATTGAAACTTTATATCAAAATTATACAACATATTTATATTTTTTATTGATTTAGTTTAATGTGTCACTTTAAAAAAAATAATCCAGTAAATTCTACATTCAAAAATAAACATTTGTATGCAAAAACGTGGTAATTTGTAATAAACATGAGGTCATGATATGAGGTATGAAAACCTTTTAAAATGACAAAAAGCAACGGGAAAAAAGCTATTAGGCATTTTCCTGCCACTTCATAATATCAGTTGCATTAGAGGTCATTTTTCCCCGCTTGACCAAGATGCATCATGCGTGTTGCCACGCTCTGTCTTTTTTTTTTTTTGGCACTGACTGAACTCATTCAGACACATGTAGACAGGGTGACGTGTGTCAGACCCTGAGGTTGTTACCTGTCACTGAATCACTGCTCTGCTGTCACCCATTAGTCATTAACCTCATTAACAGTAGCCCAGGGACTAAACTGGCATTTGATAATGGAAGATGTTCACACTGTTCCTTAACAGCTGGACAGGTTAGCAGACTGCTGATGGCTAGCTTTTAGTCTTTTCACCCATATTTGTCACACTTGTGTTCTTGTTTTCCTCGAAACCCATCACCTCACTGAGTTTCTGTGACCTCTATCATGCCTGTTGAGCCATGTTATCCAGTGTCACTCCAGTGAACAGGCCTGAGTATAAAGCAGAGCTGCAGAGAGTCCGGCAGGATTAGAGTTTCGAGATTAGCCGTCTTTCCCGAGTCATCACTAATCCTTACATAAATCCAGGACAATAGTGCACACATATGAGATCTGGTGTAATAGGATCAATGGAGAACAAGGGAATTTGAAATAAATTGTATCACATTTATGTTTAAAGCCAGGAACACTGACTCTCAGTGCAAAAATGTTTTGCTTTTTTTAGTCATCACATATGCTTCTTCTTTTTGTCATAAATAAGCTTCTCTAGCAAAAAGTGCCCATTGGATGATAAATGAAAACATGGGCTCATTATATGAGATGTGTCTTTTTTATGTTCCTGCTTGTGAATCTGCTTTTGAGTCCTGTATCCCCCCCCCCCCCCTGTTTTTTTGTGAGTCTCTTTTATTCTTTTCACATCCTGGTCTCACCTTAGTCATTTGTCCTTTTGATAGAATATTCATCCATCCATCCTTCCATTATCTTTTTCCCGCTTCTTCCTTTTTGGGTAGTGAGGGTCACTTGTGTACATGTCCAGGCATCACTGTGCGAGGGGCGGGGGACACTCTGGACAGGTCTCCAGTCCATCACATGGACACAAAGAGAGAAATGAGACAACCATTCACTCTCTCACTCACACCTACGGACAATTTAAAGTTACCAGTCAGACTAACATGCATGTTTTTGGTCTGT